GCTGTAGTGATGAACCGGACTGCTAGGTCAAGTGAAATCCTCATCATCGATGACTCGCCGATTAAAACTGCAGCGAACACGCACACATATGCAGTGCACCCCATCTCTTGCAGTATGGAAACTAGGGAGAAGAAACCGTATATTCTGGGGGACCTTGCAAAACGGCTTGGAGCGATGGTGATAGAGAACCGGCCAGTCCAGGAGGTGGCTGCAGAAATCAACCAAATGGCAGATGGAACGGTATATCAGAAGCCATTTGATCGGACAGGCACTAGTCATCATTTATGGCATGTATATTGTCTAGCCAAGCACTATCCGCATCTCCATAATCTGCTCAACTGGATGGGTTCTTTGACCACTGAACATGAGCGTGGACGTATTAGAGAAGAGATGGCATTACTATTGGGTTTAAATCCTGATAGTGTGGAGAGTGATGAAATTCCAAGATTATTGTATAGGCGTTGGAGGCAAAAAATAACAGTCTGAGATGGCATGTATTTATTTAAAAATGTAACTTATTATGGCATGGGGTTCCATGCCATTGTATTAATATTAAAAGACAATTCTTTGAGAGGATTTGCATTATACTAGAAGTGTTACAGCATGTTATTGGAAGTCTACGAAGTTGTTTTATTAATAAGGGGAAAGTAAAGATTGAATGGGGACTTGGGCTCCACCTAGACTCGGAGCAACTGAGCCAATATTAAAAGGATGGAAAGAAATTGGACGACGATGACAAGGAGAAGAGAGAGGTGAAGTAGTGGCAGGGGGAGGAGAAGTGATTGAGTAGACATTTCCTTGTTTAAAATAAAATGGCATGTGCCTCAATGCAGTTGAATTTTGTTATATTTATATACTATATAAAGGTTTGGAAACCTTATTTTACAAGTGGGATAATGACAATTCCCACTTTAACGAAATAGAGCTTATCTAGATGAAGAGCCTCAAAATGGCAATGCTAATCAACGGCCGAGGGAGGCTTTGCGAGAGATGGACGAAGAGTTCTGGGGATTCGTCCATGGAGATCTTTCTGGAGCTTTGGCAAGGCGGCTGCTGTGGCTGACTGGTGATGGCGGTAACAATTTGAGGGAAGCTGTGATCGTGGACTCCCATGTTAAGGTTTGATTGGAAACTTTCATTTCTTTCTTCTTCTTTTATTGAGACTTGGTTTTGCTACGCAATTAAAATTATGGCAACTAAAATTACTCAAGTCTCCCAATTAAAAGTAAATACCTCATGCATGAAATTTGTCTAGTCCTTTGTCTCACAGCTCATAAAATTCACACCATTGAATATTGTGGATTAGAAAATTGTGAAATGTACAAATTCTAAACCTAAAATCAGTCTCTAATTCTGAACAAATTGATGTTCCTCAATCACAGTAAAATTGGACAGTGCTAACCACAGTAAAATCACTAAAGGCTACTTTCAATATAGATTTAAGTTGATGAGGATATAATTTGGGAGTTTGAAGTTTAATGTGATAATCTACGATGCAAGATGGTTCACTATGACTACATTATTGCCGTGCAAAGAGGTTCAAAAGCATCTTTCCAGCATCTAGACCGAAATCATGTTTACATTTTTCGGAGGAATATGATGCAAGCCCAGAGGGGTCTGATTTGCAACGTGGAGGCCCTCTTGGCCAAAGGATTGGATAATGTGGCGAGACAGCGTGGCTGAGCCAAAAGAAATTCCAAGTATGAAAACATGTTCTTTGGGAGCTCTTGGAGAGCTTGCTGCGAAAGGGCACTTTTCCCTCCCCAAGGGCATCGATCTTGCTCAATGGTGCTTGAGCAAAGCCTTGGCTGCGTTCTTGGATAAAATGGAAGTGTGAGGATGATTCAAGGGATCATCCATGGTTTCAGCACCGTGGAAGCTTTGGCTGGCAGCTGGGGAGTGATAGAGTGTTATGATCCGGCGCAAAAAGACAAAGATCTCGTTGCCCTAGACTATGCTACGCCACCTCTTGAGGTTCCTCACCACCCAACCACCCCCGAGCTACCTCAAAAGCTCCACTGCGCCGCCGCTCCACTGTGAGCCCTAGGGTAGGTTTTGTCCCTTACCCTAACATGCCTTAATATACCCTTGAGCCTCCCTTTGACCGACGTTGACCACGTAGTCAAAGCTGGCGCCTAACAATTCTTCCCCCCCAACAAAGTCCTTGTCCCAAGGACAAGTTGTACTGGTGATCACCCTTTCTGGGGAATCCTGCTCAAGCTCCTCCATATTCTTGCTAAAAACAAGAATATCATCCAAGAAAATCTCCACAAACTCATGAAGATAATGCCCAAATACCTCCGTCATCAACCAAGTAAATGTGGCCGGTGCATTCGTCAAACCAAACGGCATAACGATAAACTCAAAATGTCCAAAGCTTGTGTTGAATGCCGTCTTGGAGATAGATGCATCATCCATTGCAATCTGATGATATCCACTCCTCAGATCAATCTTGGTAAACACTCGTGCTTCACCAAGCTTGTCTAGGATATCATCCACACGTGGCATCGGCATCTTGTCCTTCACTGTCTTCTTGTTTAAAGCACGGTAGTCAATACACATCCGCATTGAACCGTCCTTCTTCTTCACAAGCAAGATCGGAGCACCAAACGGAGACTTACTTGGCTGAATAAATCCAAACTCAAGTAACTCCTTGACTTGTCGTTGAACTTCTTGCTCCTCCGCATAACTTAACCGAAATGGACGCCAGTAAATTGGCCGCGTCCCCGGCTCCAATGTAATCCCATGCTCCACACCTCGTAATGGAGGCAATCCATGAGGAAGTTCAGATGGAAAAACATCAGAAAACTCGTCGAGTACATCCCGTACTGCTGCTTCTCCCCCACACAAACAGCAAGTAACTCGAAAGTGCTTTTCCATTACGACAAGCCCTCTTCAAAGATGTAGCAAAGAGCATAACAACTGGTGGTTGAACGCCCTCGCCAAACCACACATCTTTAACGCCACCATACTCCAGCGAGATACGCTTAATGCTCCACTTTATCTCTGGATCCACCTTCACCAACCATGGCATCCCAAGAATGAGATCCACACGATGGATATCCGCGAGATAAAAAGTCTCCACAAGTGTGGTTTTGCCAACCAACACTTCCAGCCCCTCGACACAAGCATCGAAATGCTGAGCAGAGGTAGCTGCACCTTCCACTGTGTATGGAAGAACTCCACGTGTGTTCAGGCAATGCTCCGCAACAAACTTTGCCGAAACAAAGTTGTCATCGCTCCCACTATCCAGTAAAATCCGCACTGGATCGCCACGGAACACGCCCTCTAGCATTAAAGCTGATTCATGCGTATCCTCGAGCTCCATCTTGTTCCATACACAGTTGAGTTGACGAGCAACGATCGAAAGTCTCTTCCTCTGACCGGAATGGTCGTTCTCGTCATCCTCACGCTGTAAAGCTTGCAACTTTTTAGTATCTGACTTACCGTGAGAAGATGATTGGCCATTCTTCTTGTCCTGCTGCTTGTTCTTCAACTGCGGACAATCAGCCTTGTAGTGTCCAAGTTCGCCGCAATGATGACAACCCTGTCTATAATTCTTCACAAAGAACTTCTGCTTCTTGGACCCCTTTGCATCTGAAGTAGTCACCACCGACTTCAACTTGTGATGCTTGTTCCCATCTTTGTGTCCACGGCAATCATCACGACGATTCTCGACAGAAGGACTCCGCGAACGCTTGCGAGACTTGTGCTTGTCATTGTCAAGTCGACGAGCCGCATCAAAGAGCTCCTCCAAACTCTTTGTAGGTTGAGAATGACGCAAGTGTTGCCACATGCTCTCACTATGTAGGCCATCAATGAAGTAGGACTTGTTCTGATCTGGATCCTTCGTTGGAACACGACTAATCAAGCGAGTAAGCTTCTCAATATAATCCCCGAGCGTCATTTTCCCTTGCTGGAAATGGCGAAGTTCTGTACGAGCATTCTCCACATCGTAATGAGGGGCAAAACGTAAAGGGAAAGCAGCCTCAAACTCATCCATGGTAGACATTGGTGGTTTCTTATCCGCAACACGGGACTCCTCAAGCCAATTCCACCATCGAAGACCCGCATCACACAAAACCATCGGAATAGCCACTAAAGCCTCTACATCTGGAGTTCCTCTAGCAGCCAAAAACTTCTTCACATTGGCTAGCCAAGCAAGACACTCGTCCACACCACCATCACCGGAAAAGGTTGGAATCTTGAGTCGATCTACCAAAGAAGGCTTACTTGGAGCGCTACCTCGTCCAGCCTCGAGTGCCTCAACACGCCCACGCATGGTATCCATCATGTCATGCATCTCGTCTTGCATCTCTTGCTGATTTTTATTAAGGGCTCGCAGCTCATGAACCACATCTTGAATGGTCCAAATCTCCGCAGCTTCGTCGGCACCATCGTCGGCACCACCATCGACAATAGGATTCCAGTGTTCAGCTTGGTCGGCCATCGCAACCAATCCTCTGATACCAATGTTATGATCCGGCGCAAAAAGACAAAGATCTCGTTGCCCTAGACTATGCTACGCCACCTCTTGAGGTTCCTCACCACCCAACCACCCCCGAGCAACCTCAAAAGCTCCACTGCGCCGCCGCTCCACTGTGAGCCCTAGGGTAGGTTTTGTCCCTTACCCTAACATGCCTTAATATACCCTTGAGCCTCCCTTTGACCGACGTTGACCACGTAGTCAAAGCTGGCGCCTAACATAGAGCAAGCCCTGGCTATGGGGCGTGGCGACAAGGAAAAGATCTCCATCCCTCGGCACCACATCATCAATTTCTTTTCTCCACGCGGGCCTAAATCAGAGCGACCTTTTTAGAAAGGTTGTTTCTCAACGAAAGGCTTGCTTCCATGCATCATTCACCATTTGAAGTGTTTATAAGGACACACTACATTTCCAAACTTCCATGGAGCACATCACAGCTTTTTTCGCCTTCTTGGCTTCTTTCTTCTTGGTCATCTTCTACTATGATCGATCTAAATAACGCAGCTCCCATGTCATGCCTCCAAGCCCCCGGGCCTTTCCAATCCTCGGCCACATTCCACTCCTGGCTAGCAATTCTCGTGGGCCGCATCTCATCCTCTTCGATCTCGCCAAGAAGCTCGGCCTGATCTTCTACCTCCGCCTGGGCTACACCCCCACGCTCGTCATCTCGTCAGCCAAGATCGCCCAAGAGATCCTCAAGACCCACGACAGGACCTTCTCCTCGCGGCCATCGCTCACGTTTGCCGAGGCGATCCTCCCAGACGATCTCATCTTCGCGCGCTATGGCACGAGATGGAGGGAGCTCCGCAAGATCTGCACGCTCGAGCTCTTCACCGCGCGCCGCGTGGGGAGCTTTGCGGCAGTGAGGCAAGCGGAGATGGAGAAGTTCCTGGCGATGCTCTCCCAGAATCTGGGAAGAACGGTGAACATGACCCACGAGCTCAGCGTCCTCACCTTGGAGATCATGCAAACGCTCGTGTTTGGGACGAGCCGGACCTTCGGTGCCAACGATTTCCTCCGCTTGGTCCACCAGGCGAACGAGCTGGGCGGGAGGCTACACATCGGCGATTACGTCCCATGGCTTAAATGGATGGATATCTCGCTGCCCAAGCTGAGAACCTTAGCAACCAAATTCCATGCCTTGCTTCAAGCACACATTGAAGAGCACCGATCCTCTATAGCCAAGCAAGGACATGGCGGCGAGAGCTTCCTGGACGTCTTGCTCTCGCTCGACAACATGTCAGATCTTACCATCCGGTGCCTCATGCTGGTAAGACTGGGGGTTGACTTGAGTGTTGACTAACTCGTTGGCCGTCCTTGCTAGGATGCTGTGAGTGCAGGGCTGGACACGACTGCCACAGCGATAGAATGGGCTCTCATAGAGCTACTTCTTCATCCACAAATCTTGGCAAAAGCCCAGAAGGAATTGGACGACGTGATCCCTGCTAGTAGTGCCATCGTGAGTGAGGCCGACATTCCCAATCTCAAGTACCTCGGCGCGATTGTCAAGAAGAGCCTGCGCCAGCACCCACCGGCACCACTCATGGTTCCACGCGAATCCACCGCCGAGTGTAAGGTAAGTAGTCTAAAAGGTTTGATCCTCGCTAGATCTCTGAATTTGTTATCAACATGTATGAAAGCTTGAAGAAGCTGGCTACATGATCCCAGCCAAAACCCAAGTGTTGATCAACCTCTATGCCATCGGCCGGGATCCAAACATCTGGGAGAACCCTCTGGAATTCATCCTGGAGAGGATGAGTAATGAATTCAATGCGGCTGTGGAACCCATGACATTTTGCTTTGGCCGGCGATCCTGCCCGGGGATGAACTTGGGGTTGACTGCTGTTCATCTCGTCTCCCTACAGGTTCAACTGGACAACACCGGATGGTAAAGAGGTGGACGTGGGCAAAAGGGGGTCGGGTCACGCTCATGCGGGCTTGTCCACTTGCATTGGTTCCACTTCTTTGCAAGTAGTCAAACATATTGACTAGAATAAACAGAGTGTGTTTATTAAAGTACACTTTCTTGCTTTGTGAGAGGTTAGCTTGGAAGCTCCCAATTTGCCATGATACTGGTCCAATGCGCTTCAGTGCAATTCTATTCACAGTTTTTAGGCAATTATCTCAAAAGATCTACCAGGGTAAAGATTTTGATTTCTTCCTCTCTCTAATCTGTTCTAGTCTTGCTTTGCGCAAGCTTTGTTTGGATATTGGGCTCATTTTTGGGTTTCAGTATGAATGTAGGAAGGGTGAGATGGAAAACTTCAATCTGGATTGAATGGGATTTTGGAGTTAAAGAGAAAATGTCCCTATAAGTTTATTTGTGGGAGCTTGTTCTTTGGCTAAGTGACTTCAAACAATCAACACCCTTTCATCTTTAAGATGTCTACCTTTAGTTCTGCTTCTAGTGTAGACATTGTACAACGAATGGATATGGATGGGATACTTAACTAATTCCTAAATCTATTTTAACCACATGGAACGAGTTTCAGGATGGTCAACTATAGGAGCCCATGTGTATGATCACAAGTAAGTGGCTTTTCATTTTTTAAGGATCCCATACCGGTTTACATTATACCCATTCCTTCTATAAGTTGCAGTGCAACTTGACTATAGCTATAGCTGAATTCAAGGTTCAGGATTTCCAAGCTCAAATTGTCTTTTGGACATGTATGCCTAAGGTTGTTGAATAATAAACCGGGAAAAAACCTAACTTCTGTGGTTTCATGGCAGATGCTACTAGTGCTAATTGGTTTGTTATGTGGCAAGTGTTTGGAGGTGATAAAAGTCAGCCATTACAGAGTTTAATCAGCTTTGTTGGGAATGGATGGATGCATCAATTAAAGAGGAGCACGAGGCAAAGGCAAATAAGATGTGCATATAGTGGTGGGAAGGAGACAAAGTGTCAATTGAACACCTTTCACAAATGGAGTGTTGGCTTGCATGGTGGGAAGTTCGAATATTTCAATGGGGCCATTATATTCTCCATGTAAGTTTTCTTTCATTTTCTTTTCTTGTTACATTCAAATGTTGCATTTTTCCTATGATCAACCACTTGATGACATAGTACTTACACCAACAATTAATCTCTTTAAAAGCAAACATTGGAGTTGGAGAGCTTCAGAAGCAAGAAAAGGAAAAGTGTCCCTTTATGAAGCTACACTCTCCGACTTCACTAGATCTCTTGAGCAATCATCAAAAGCTTTGGTTGCATAGGAAGCAAGGTTTGCTAGTATAGGTCCAAACTTAGACAAGCTTCGAAAGTGGGTTGGTAGAAGGACAACACTAGCAGTAGGGTCAATATCTAAGATGGTGGAGGAAGTTGTTACTGGAACTCCTATGGAATCAAATTATGAACCACTTGGGGACATGAGGACAACCCGTTTGAAGCATCGACAGACATTTGATGAGCCCAACATCACTCCTTCTGGCTCTCACCGTCCAGAGTTTGACTACTATTCTATTCCACGACACCAGAAAAGAACTAAGGAGCATGGAGTGGTGGAGGCATAAGAGAAGATCAAGCTGGCAAAAGAGTTGAAGTGTAAAATCACAAAGACAAACTACATTAGTGCTGTGGCTAAGGAGTTTGTTGTTGTGACTGAGTCGTCAAAGGGTACAAGCTACACTGTCAAAATCTGTGAAAATCCATCCTATACTTGTTCAAATTTTACACAGAGGGAGAACAGAGGAAAGGTATATTTAGCTTGCAAGCACATCTATTACATTTTTATGCAGGAACAAAACCAAGATCCTAAGATTGACCATCATATCCACCAGACAAGCTTCACAGTTGCGGAGCTTGAGAAGTGTTTTTAGATTGCTTTTAGTGTTCGGATCTATATTTATATTTGTATTTTATTGGTCGAATTTACTTGGAAATATAGATTAAATCAAAATTTAAAAAATGAAAAGGTGTTGGTTCGGGATGAACCAATGTTTTTCTTGTATTTGAGAAGCCGTGAGCTCATGAACTCAAAATATACATGAGCTTATTACACGAGCAAATTTGGTAGAAAGTTATTCGCGACATCTACTAGTCTTCCAAGGGAAGCTTGAAAGTAGCTAGATCCTTATTAACACAGGTGCTTTAGATAATTTTATAGCTGTAAATATAGTTTGGCAAGCTGGACTAATAGTGCAGTGGTTGGGTGAACCAAGGACGATAGAATTTGTTCAAGGTAGCTAAAACATCAATGAGGTACTTCAAGCAAGAGTTGAAATAAGGACATGGAAAATAGACATAGATTTCACCGTGTTAGACATGGCAGGATTTGATGTGATTTTTGGGATGGATCAATTCAATTAGTTTTTGATAGCCTTACATGGACAAGGTAAGAATCTAGTGGTATTGGCAAATGCCCGAGGAGAACAATTTAGGGTGGAGGCCTAGGATTTAAAGGTAGGGCAATATAAGGCTAAAGACTCCTACTTAAACTTGGTATCCATGAGATGTAGCATTTTTGTGCTTACTCTCAATAGGGAGTGGACCAAATGGGAAAAAATAAGATGGTATAAACAATGGAATATGAGGTAGTATTTGTCCACCTCAACGGGAAATTAAGGAAGACTCCCATGTTGGCATTATCAAATTGTAAGCAACCAAAAAGAATAATTTGACAGACAGTCCATAGAATTCAAATATAAAGGGAAAAGGCCTATGAATAAAAGTGCACCCCCTTTTTCAATCGATTAAGGCTCTTAGGATACTTGGGGTTAAATGTCCTTGGGTTTGAATAATATTGGGTTGGATGACCTCCTGGGAAGTCTAAATTCATGAGCTTACATTTGGTATTAGAGAGGTCTTAGGTTCGACTCTGTTGGTTGGCTAAGGGAATCACACCACATATTGATTGATATCTGGTAGGTCTAGTTTGCTCTGGTTGGGCTCTACTCGAGGGGTAGGGTGTCAAGAGAGCAGGGATCTTGGAAGAGTTATAACTCTCAGCTTCGCTCGACCCGAGGAGTAGGGTGTCAAGAGAGTGGGGATCTTGGGAGAGTTATGGCTCTCAGCTTCCATTCATGAGGGCGTCAACTTGTAGGAAAACATAATGGATTGTAAGCAAAAAAAAAAACCACTCGAGAGATGGTCGTTCAAATATAAAGAGAAAAAGCCCATGAATAAGAGTGCACCCCCTTTTCCAATCAGTTAAGGGTCTTAGGATACTTGGGATTAAGTGTCCTTGGGTTTGAATAGTACTGGGTTGGGTGACCAAATAGACTCAAATTCAAGAGCTTACACAGACTTTGGTAAGGACTTTGAGGTAGAAATGGACACTTTACATTGTGTGTTGGGTGTAATTTTGAAGCAAGACAACCACCAATGGCATTCTTCTTGAAGAAGTTGGACAAGGCTCAATGAAAGTGGCATGTCCACAAAAAGAAAATATTTGCAATGGTCAAAGCGCTCTGAGCAAAGGCCATTAAACAAAGGAATGGTGCCAAACTCCTAAGCATAGAGGTAAGGAGTAAAGGAACTAGAGCATGGAGTGACTCCTAGAATGGTGCCAAACTCCTAAGCATAGAGGTAAGGAGTAAAGGAACTAGAGCATGGAGTGACTCTTGAGTGTAAGCTCCTAAGCATAGAGGTAAGGAGTAAAGGAACCAAAGCATGGAGTGACTCCTGAGTGTAAGCCCAGGGAGTAAAGGGATAGGAGCACAGAGTGACTGTTCCAAAGGAATGGTGCTAAAATTCTAAACATAGAGGTAAGGAGTAAAGGAACCAGAGCATGGAGTGACTCCTAAGTGTAAGCCCAGAGAGCAAAGGGATAGGAGCACAAAGTGAATTGGAATAGTCCTGGAGCATTTAACATCCCAATGCTAGAACTAGCATGCAAAACAGAGCCAAATAGAATTTAGCACTATTTCAATATACCGGTGGCCTAATGCAAGGATATGGGTACTCCACCAGCTAGCATGGTGTGGAACTTAGGTTTAGACTCAAGCCAGATGCAAAACAAGAATAGGCACGCAAGCTAAAGCTAGATTATACCACAAGTTAGTTGGCCATGCCAGACTTACCCACTATCCCTACTATACATTTGAAACAAAATGCTACTAACACAAGGTGCATGATAGTGAGGGTGTTTGGCAGACGTGATAAACTATCATTTGGCGATATTAAGGGACTAGTCTCAGTATATAAGGGTTCTTGTTAAGCAAATGAAAGATAGAGAAAAAAAAAACTAAGAGCTGTTAGGGCATAGCTAAGGGAATATCCCCATCTTCCTTGTATAAAACCCTTGCCCCAAAAGGGCAATAGAGGGGCATTTGTGAAGAGCATTAGAGCATTTCTCGTGTTTGAGTGAGTGTTGGGGGAGGTGCCTCTCCTTTCCTCAACAAATGGTGAACCCAGCGTGATATGCAATCCTTTTTACTACATCATTTCTCTCTTTTTCTTTTGACTGGAGACTTTGAGAAGCAATTTCTCGTTCATCTTGCAGTGGTTCTGCTTGATCTTAGGCACGTTAGATAGGTCTTAAGCTCCTCTTTTCGGCAAGCTATAGCACTCATCAAGCTGTGCAATATTTAAGGAGATACAATGTTTCTTGGCTCGGTTTGGTGAATATTTTGGGGATTTTCACTTTCTTGCCTAGATTCTTGGCCTAATTTCTCAAAGCAATGCATTTGGGTTTGTAGATATGACCTAGATCTACAGGTAGTGGTAATTCTTGGCACTAGATTTGGGCAAATTTATAGCATGCAAAAAGATTTTCTTCTCCAACTATATAAGGGCATCTTTGTAACAGAAATTTGCACTACTCCGGGCTTTGTTTTAGATGCTATTTGTTTCTGGAGGTGCTCCTAGTCCTAGGCTATCTGAGAATACTGATGGTGCTATGGTATCAATCTAGATTGGTGACATGTAAATGTTTTCCACAATATTGG